TTCCTTCCGGTGTTGTCGGAGTAGGATGGCCGGAGTGCAGGAGTCATAAACAGCTGAGGCTCACTCGCTGCCTGCGAATTGCGGGATCAGTCACCTTGGGGTTACCTTACAGCAAGGCGCACGATTGGCGGTTAGTTCGCGCGTATATCCGGATCAGTGAGTGATACTACCTTTGCTACGATGTCACGGAGGTGCCTTTTTGATTTCATCCAGCTGAAGAGTGGATTGAGCGCTGTGACAGCCGGAAAGGTAAAAGCCTAATTCGAAGGCCTTGGTGTCAGTGCCACAAAGCTGGAACAATGTACACAGCTACTAAAAACAGCTATAACAAAGTTGTAAGAAAGATGGGTGAAATCGAGCAGGCACACGGCAAGGCTTCTGTTGGAAAACGAGGGGTGGTTGGGGACAGAAGTCTTGGCAGAGCAGCTCTCAGCTCCCTCTTCCCGTGGTCGGGGCACGAGTGGATCGAGATCCCCTCAACGCAACGATGTTCACTCTGCAAGGCAGCGCCAAAAGTGATGAGCAATCTCCAGCATGTCCGGCAACTTGGAGTTAATACAAACCACTTGCAACTGGGTCTCAGCACTCTGACGCCTGGATCCGGGTTTTCGAATGCATATTCCACATCAGCTATTTCTTGACCTACAGAAGTGGCCGATCAGGTCAGAAGGCGAAAAGGAACGTATGCAAGAGAAGAAGAAAGCAGTGCAAACAACATTTTGGAGAGGGGCTTCATCTCATGTATGCCAGCCGAGAGATAAGGAAGCGACTCGTCAAACGACGGCAACACAGCCGGCGGGCCCGCGCAGGAGGAAGCGACCTCGCTGAGATCACCGGGTCGATGAACCTAATCCGGCCTTTATGCTGGATGGATAGCCATGGTATCCGGATATGAAATAGACCCTGAGAAGTTCGGTACCTACTGCCAGGAAAACAGCCGAACTGATGTGAATATATATCCGCGGTACATGTGCGCATACTTCCGATGCCAGTGGCTGTACTTTGAGTACTTCCATGGAGCGGCCGTCATTGACGTACTGCTTCTGCCACTCGGACACTTCAGTGAAGAGGCACAAGAGTCTAGCAATAGATTTACGATCGTACTGTGTGGACCACGCTAGGAAAGACTCCCGTCTGCATAAACATCGGCGACCAGATCGGGCACCCACTGGCCAGCAGGACCCTGTGGTCAGCTCGTGGGCGATCATTGTGTGAAGTCAGGGCTGCCAGGGGCAAGGGGAGCGCTGTCGAAAGAGGCCTCGCTCTTCTAGGAGACCCTTCCTGAGCCTTTTTTGCGAGGAATTCCATTAATCCGATATCAAGAACACTCAATGAGCATTGATTAACTTGTAAAAGTAACAAGACGGTAGATTACTCCCGCTCTTCACACGGTGAGAATCCTTTCACTTTTCTTTACACGAGATGTGAAACGCGTCAAGCTAAGTGGATGACAGCAAGGTTCTGTGATATCGGCATTTTGTAACCATTTGCGTATTTCATTTACAGGCATGTAAGAGCTTCGATTGTTGGTACCTTGAGAGTCCGTTTCTTACCCGTGTATGATGATAGGCTGCGTGTGCTGGATTTGAGCATATGTTCTGACCCAATGTGTGAAACGTTTCCTCCGAGTTCGTGGTTTCGTATTCCAAATCAGTGATCGAGTGGACGACAGGCACGGCTTTGTCATCCATTTTTGCCTGGCTGGTTACCTCCTTCGGATATAGCTGGAAACTTGATTAAAGGTGAGTGCTATGCAAATGTTCCCAAGACCACGTTTGCGTCAGGTAGAAGGCATCATTTATGCTTCCACGGGGTGGTTTGCTATGCCCATACATGAGATTGGCATGCATACCAAGTTCTTCCTTGGCTTGTCTGCCAGTTGCCAATGTTGCTAAGCTTTTGTAAGAAGCACGTACCACTGTCGTTATCCCATAACCAAAATTAGTGGCTGGGGCTTTTATGCATTTATTCACTAACCATTGTAAAGTTTTTCTGCTCCCCTAAAAGTCCATTAACACTGTAAAGTTTTATGTTGTCTCGATTACAAAAACGCTATTTCAGTAATTTCCATGCATTTTAGCTCATCTCATAGAGATTGCTAGAGCGTGCTCTGTTATAAGTTTCGTTGGTGTTAATCTTATAACGATGCTAGAGCGTGTTAAGTTATAACCTTTGTTGGTGTTTATCTCACAGCGATTGCTAGAGCGTGTTATGTTATAACATTCGTTGGTGTTAATATTTGTAAAGGCGTTCTTTTATTTCATTTGTTCTAAGGAACTTATTTTGTCGAACCGTTCAGACCATGCTAACGCAGTTTAGGCCAGCAGAGCTCGGAACATTTGCACCTGACATGAAATATTAAATTCCTTCTCTGTTCTCACAATAACCTGTAAATTCTTTCCGCGAAAGTCTGCATTGCTGAAATTAAAATCTGCGTACCTTATGGGTGCGCCGCGTGCCTGATTTTGAGTAGTAGCCCCGAAGGTGTTCACGGATATGCAGAAAGAGTTGTCCATACATGTCACATTAATCAGTTTGATTCGGGCTCAAGGTCACGCCAGGGCGAACATTGTCACGCCATATTAGGCCACAAAGCCGTTGGGAATTTGAAACAACATGGCTTGGCCGCGTAAGATCCTGCCATTGAGCCACTGCAGGTCGACATTACGTTAGGCCTGACAAGGGTGCTGCACGATTTATTTTGTCGGCATCGTCGCACAGGAAAATAGAAGTGTCGGGTAATCCAAGGTCATGGAATGATGCAGTGACATCACGTCAAAAAATTGAAATCATGGTGGGGGTTTCATTCATTCCAGAGGTATACAACGGCCTCATAACGTAACGCTCGTTGTATGAGGGGTCTATGATGAAAGCCCCCTGACGTTCTCCTGGAAGAATTTGTGAGCCAATAGGGTTAATCCGATCTTGCACCTGCACCTAATCCGACGCCTGCATGCTGTACTGGAAGCCATGGCATCCGGATATGAAGTAGACGCTGAGAAGTTCGGTGCCTACTGCCAGAGAAACACAGCCGAACTATATGTGAATATGTATCCGCGGTACATGTGCAATATAGTTCCAATGCCAGTGTCTGTACAACGAGTACTTCTCCATGGAGCGCTCGTCATTGACCCAATGCTACTGCCACTCGAACACTCAGTGAAGAGGCACAAGAGTCTCGCAATAAGGATTACGAGCGTATTGTGTGGAAACACGCTAGAAAAGACTCCCGTCTGCATAACATCGCGGCCAGATCGGACACCCATCTGGTAAGCAGTGACCCCTGTGCTCAGCTCGTCGGCGATCAGTGTGCGCAGTCAGAGCGCTGCCAAGAGCAAGAGAGCGCTGTCGGAAGAGGCCCTCACCCTTCTAAGAGACCCCTTCCCTGAGCCCCGTCATGTATACTGAAGGACGGATTACTAGCGACCCTGACTCGATAGACAAGCAAGAAATCAGCGTTGCATATCTGATTGATTATTAACGCCCAGTAGACACGGACCATGTGATGCTTCTGATTGTCAGTAGTTTGAAGATAATGCTTAGCTCGAATTCAGCGCGCAAAAATACCATACACACGCAATTTATTCAAAGTAAACTAGCAGAGATATCGTTTGAGATCAGTGACCTCAACATGACCTAGAAAAAAGTCGGTAGTTTGACGGTTATGATACAAGTTGAGTGCAAATTCAAATTCTGCATAGGAAACTGCTGTGGGACAAAGGATTTTAACAAGTTATCTTCACTCACTGAATTAATCCCACTTTTGGGGGCGATCTGGCTCGTAGGAACGGTCAAAGAGGGGGGGGGGGGGTCATCGCGGGTATCGGCAGGAGGCGAAATCACCTGTCACACTTTCTCAAAGGACGCTTGTACTGGTGCGAGCGCCGGGATCTGCAGCTCTTGCGACCGCTTTTGACGGTCTCGCAGATTAGCAGCAGCGGTCGAGATAGGGTAACGGAGACCGCCTTGTCTCCGGTGGCCGAGTTGACCCTGGATTTCCGACCCGTATTCGGCATGCAGAACGATATGTGCCCCTTAAAATCGTGGTTTAGCCCAAGGCCTCCGGAGACCGAGATTTTGACCGCCTATTGGGTGTCAGCTGCGGGCCGCCGACGGGCTGAATTCCAGTGACGTCATGCGGCGGCTCGCGCAGAGTGAAAAGTGTAAGAAGATCACTTGGTGACTTTGTGCTTGGGGGGCCTGACTGGGCCTGCCCGCAGCGAAACGGCAGTCGGCTGGTGGAGAGCGCGGTGGAGCGTGGTCCGTGCGATCTCCCATAGGCTGGCTTAAGTCTCACTGGTTGTACTCAAGGTTCGCTGATTGTGGAAACACGGCTTTTTAAGTGTCTAATCCATTCGCGGCGCTCTCTGGAGCTAACGTGGTTATCCGGTTTTGTTAGAAGTTTTTTATCTTCCTCTGTAAACAAAGGATACGTGATTCCGGCTTTGTTTGGGGGGGGGGAGGGGGCTGTCGTAATTTTTGCGCGTACTTCTCACGCTTTATTGTAGTTCAAAGTTGTATGCATGAGTTAAAATATCAGCTTCACCTATGCATAGACGCAAGGCTAGGAATCCTAGATAATAAGGGACTGTAATTCAAGTCATATTCAGGAAGTACTACTGACAAGGCATGACATATTACACAAGCTGCATCAACTGCAGCATATAAATATGATATAGCTTATTGCAGTATAATCTGTTCTGTTTGAGCATTGCTTATTGACCAATCTGGAAAAATATGACTGTGCCCAATGTCTGTATAGGCATTGATTAGTAACAGTCTACAAAAATATGCCTGTGCCTAATGTGTAAGTGATAATAATACACTGGTGACAATCAGGCACATGTTTGCACTAAACTTAATTTAGGTGGAATTGTGCTGATTTTTTTCTGCTGGAAGCATTTGTTGGGTTCTTGGTCCCCATGGCCATTATACTCCATAAAACAGTGCTTTTCTATTTCTTGAACTTGGTGGTGAGTGTGCTGAGTGCCCCAGGTTCTGGGCAGAGACACTCAGGTTCACAATGTATATGCATTTAAACTGTTGCCATAATCCTTTGACCATATTTGGCATGTTTCTGTATTTTTTTTGCAGCCTAGGTTGTAGATAATTGGGCCAGAGAAAATCCAAGACATTGGACTGAGGGGAAAAGGTGACTGTGAATGTTTGTTTCCCTACAAAAACATGAGATGATGGCATGCTTCGGGGTGGGCTTGGAGCCCTTGGTGTTAATACTGATGTTACAGAAATGTGTCATGTCTGCATCATGCCCACCACCACATTCACCCAGAGAAGAGGGTATTGTGTGCTCTGGTCATGAATGTGCATCAGTATAACAAGCACTCAAGTCACTGTTCTCATGCATTTTAAGCCTGAAGTTCCCTCTACAGGTGTAAGCCTGATGGTAGTCTTTGGGTCCTCTTGTGTCAAACTGTCAAGTGAAGGGAAGCAGACCATTGCCTTCCACCCAAAGGCCAAAGTTAAGTTCTCCAACTGTGGGAATATGTCTGCAGAGCAGAGGACAATGCTTTTAAACATTTATGGGCTGCACTGTCTTGAAACATACTTGCTACTTGCCAGTTTTGGTGGATAAATATATGCATGCTGCACAGCTGCCCCCAGTTAGCATGGTATATAGAAGTTAAAATGTGTGGTCTTACCACTTTGTTTCTTCTGATTTCAGGTGAACAGGGTGCAAATAACCCATTCTTGTCATCTGGCCTTCATTCTCAACTGTTAATTCTCACATGATTCCACTCTTTAGTCGTAGAAGATTTGCCGGCAAAAGGTGGGAGAACACAACATGTAACACTTAAGTGCTGTGTTGTGTTCTGGGCTGCCTCACTTCTGTACCAATGTTGCTGTGATGTGAAAGATCGGAACTGACGATAACACCTTGCCAATACTGGATGAGCAGTTAGCACCTTCGGCCCCCACACGGGGGTCTGGGTTGGAGTCCTGGATGTGCCATGGCCCCTGAGCACTAATATGGTCTCCACAGGTGTCAGTGCTCCTTAACAGGGTGTGCATCAACATGCACAACATTTTCTTTAAAAAAGTAGCCTTTTGTGTTAACAGAGTGACATCTGTCCATGCCGTTCTTTTCAGTTTTGAATGCTGCTCAGGTGGTTTTCATATTAGCACAGCCTGTGGATAGATAACCAGAAATTGTCTCCTCATGTTTCCCTGTAGCCTGGCACATGTTATGTATGAACATCATATGTTTCAACATCGTATGAGGCACGTGACGGGAAAAGCCTCTTCACTCTCAGCTGGATGTGAGACAACAGAACATGAATGCATGGGGGGTCAAACACCCTCAAATTTGTTTCATCATATGCTTGTGTTTCCTCCAGCATTGAATCAATAGCATCAGCATGGGTAATTCCATTCCTTAAAGTGGTACAAAGACCAAACACCCAAAATGCTAAAACCAAAACACGGGAGAGATCTTTAAGCCTGGTGGACATTGAGCATAGTGCAAAATGTGACCAAGCAAGTTACCTTTGTAACTGTTTCACTATGTATAGGACATTGTCGATATTCCCTCATCTCCTACACTGCATCCCCATTTTATTTGGGTGACATCATGCTTCTACTTTATTTGATGCGAGTTGCATCATACTTCTACTTAATTCGACGCACATTCCTGTTTTTATGCTATCATGCATAGTGAATGGACAGTTCAGCAGGACTCTGTCTTTGCCATGCTGCCCCATGCAAGGCATGTCATGCGCCAATTCTGTCTCTGCTAGCTGACGTACAGTTCTACACTTCCGCCCATAGGCAAAGGAACCTTTGAGAAAATGGGTGTGCCGAAATCAATTTTGGAGCCGATTCTCTTCATGCGTGATCATAGGGTTAATGGTTAGGATTGTCGGAAAGTGGGGCTGCCATGACACCCATGGACCGCCTCCTCCATTATTACGCCCATGCGACTCCGCCCGTTACGGTTACGCCTTCTGTTTGGGTGCTACGTGGGAGGAAAGCTTATGGGGGGGGGGGGGTGAACGCATTAGCTGTCCGCTACGATCGTCGTGCGACCCTCCCTTGGAACGATGGACGGCATCCCCGGGCGGGTTCTTGACGGTATCCGTCACTCAGTATTATAGCATTGTTGTATCTAAGGTTGGGCAATATATTTGGTTTCAGCTGTACTGAATCCGCACTTTTTGGGAGTACGGACATCGCAGACGTCAAGGGACTTGACCGGGGTCCCCTTGGGGTTCCGGTGGCGCTCTTAGGATTCTAAGATTCTGCCGCTGTACATTGAGGAGGTTTGCTAAGCAAAACAGCCGCGCGCATCTCGAGAACGGCCACTATGCCGGCACAGCACGGTACCGCCGACGCCGCTGCTGCGGCCGGCGCACGCGCTCAGTTTTTGCGCGCCTGGTCTGATGTCTGATGCGCGCCATCCGGCCGGGCGGCACGCGCGCGCATGCTCAGGCCCGCTGGTGACTGGGCCGTCTCTGTTCGCAGGCTCTGAGCGGCCACCATGATCAAACGGTCGGGGTACTTGCTTGTCCTGGTCTTTGTCCACCTAGTGTTCGGCGTGTAAGTACCGTGCCGGGCGGCTGTGGGATGCTTACGAGGGGGGGGGGGGAAGGGCTGGAATCCCGCGGGGTGGCCAGAATCATGCGGGTTTTGACGTTTTTTGGGATTCATTATGGTTGCCGTGTGCCACGTCCAGTGGTGGTGCTCATGGTTTCTCCAAATAGCTTTGAGGGGGGGGGGGGGACACCGGGTTTTGCCCCAACCCGTTATGATTTCGGCTCTAAATTTGATGGAAGGTTCTTCTGTGCAGCCTGCAATGCGCTCATTGTAATTGCTAGCACGTGTGAATAGCCTTTTAGAATTTGGGGCGGATATCATCTTTCCCATGTATAATATTTTGAGCGACATATTCGCACGCAATAGCTCTCAGTGACATTGGTTCTGAAGTTTGGTTGGGGTTTTTGTCCTTTTGTAGGGTTCTGGCTCCCTCCCAGTTTGCCTGTACCTCGTGCACTCATCTCACTAAAGAATTGCGGGAAAACTCTTAACGGTAAACAGCATGTGTTTATCGAGCATATAATTTCAGCCCTATTTACATTTCGCGTGGTCCGGTTGGGCCAGACTTATTTGGTCTGGCGCGCTGAAATAGCTTCCCATCTTAATGACATTTTGTAGCTGTAAAGCTGCAAAATGAAACGACAAGTTTCCGATCAGAGAAAAGCTTCCAGCCACAGAAGTCGCGCCAAATAGAACCGACAGCGACATTTTCATCGCAGTACTTGGCTCGACTCACTGTTCTCCATGTGTACCGTGCATGTGTGAAGAATCACCCGCGGCATTCGTATACGCTAGTGAAAACAAATTACCGTAGGCTCCTTTCTTGCAAAGTTTGGATAATTTTCATTGCTATTCAGCTGGCAACCCTGGTCCTGTTCGAACGATTCCTCACGCATTGTATATCTTGCGTGTGGAGATCTATTTCATCAATGACATATCATAAAAGGAATGCCTTCGGATATGCCGTATAAAACAACAGTTGTAGATCGACGGCGCCAGAAACGCTGCTCGGTGCCAAGATGTCTGGTACGGCTTTGCTCCTGCTCAGATGCCTGCTTGTGCTGGAGAGCACGCGGATTGCCTACTGAACGCGTCGAGGGCTTGGAGTTCTGGTCTACAGAGTGCCTACCAGCTTTGTGCGTCTCGTAAACAGTGTGGCGCAGTTACATTTGCGCCCTGCTGTTGACGCAGTTGGAAGGGCAAGAGAACCAGCTGCGGTGAACGTACTTCTGTGTAGTTTCAGCGTCATTTTTCTCGCCGTTCAGCGGCAATTCCACATGCGCGTGCCCACGTGGGTCGCTCAAGCTCAGGGATCATGAGAATTGAGCTGTGGAATTCGGAAGGCATTGGAGGCGCGCTGTTTCTACCCAAAGTCCGTGTGTGCGTCGATCAATAGTGTAGCAGCTGTGATGGCCCGAATGTTTTTGACATTGGCACACAAAAATCTCTTATGAAGTCGACCTTGTGTAGATTTTGCATGCGTGGTCTGCGCATATGGCACGCAAATGTTCAACGCAGAGTTGTACGGGTGGAAAGAGCGAATCTGCCCACGCAAGATGTGGTGACAAGTATAACTATTCAGTTGATGTGGTTCCAACACGAACCCGTAAACACAGCCGGTAACAAGCCACACGTCTCCTTTTACGTGTCTAATCGACCGGTCTTCGTTGAAATCGCTCCATCGTATGTGGACCGTCGGGACATTGCATCTACAGCGGGCGTGGAATGGGGTGGTAAGAGCGGGGGGGGGGGGGGGGAGGGGACTGTGACTCACCACCGGCTTGTGATCCGTTGCACAGCTATATCGTGTGCTCGGTGTATGAGTAAGACGCTGCTTCTGTTATGCATGTTGAGCGAAAAGCTCCGATGAACATGGGGGGAGGGCGGGGGGGGGGGGGGGCGCTTTGCCTTGCAGTCTGGACTTGTGTGTGATTCACTGCACATTTGGGTGGTGACATGCTACTGGCACTCGTCACTGACGTAACGCAGCATGCAGTTTTTGGTACACAGGTGTGGTAATGGTGTGGTATTTTAGGGTGCGTCGGCGTGGGGGCCACTTTGCGTCCATTATGGTACATGATGTGGATTGTATGCTCCGTTTGCCATTCGAAAAGCTCAGCCGTCGGCCAGTGCCACAACGCCAGTGTGCAGTGTCTGCGTGTGTCTGGCGGCCGGTCTGCAGTGTCTGTGTCTGTGTGTCTGGCGGCCGGTCTGCAGTGCCTGTGTATGTGCTCGGCGGCCGGTCTGCAGTGTCCGTGTGTGTGTGTCTGGCGGCCGGTCTGCGGTGCCTGCGTGTGTCTGACGGCCGGAGGGGGTCGGACAGTGACCTGAGCCTGTCGGCAGGTCCTGGCTGACACTGCTCAAGGTCAGCCTGGCCATCGTGCTCGTGTTCTACATCACGCTGCCGCTGGTCTACCACTTCTTCCCGACGGTGCCGCGCCACCTGGTGTTCCTGCCGTTCTGTGAGTCGCTGCCGCCGCCGCCGCCGCCGCCGCCGCTGCCGCCGCTGCCGCTGCCGCTGCCGCTGGCGGAACGCTTGGGCTTTTGTCTGATGTGCCATGAACCACGCTTTTGCGCCAGCTTGTACGCCACATGTGCTCCGAAGTGTACACAAGCTCACACTTGTATACACACAATCGAGTGTGCTGTGTGCGCCCCAAACCCAACAGAGCTGACTATGTGGCGGGGCTCCTGCTGGGGTGCCGGTAGTGTAGTGTTTAACGCATGCGTTAACCACTGCGTGCGTGAAACCAGAGGTACGGGGTTCGATTCCCCGCGGTGCCCGCCTTCCCTGCCAGGGCGAGAGGCAGGCGACACCATTTAGCCTCAGCAGCTGAGTGCGTCGTAAAGCCCCAATGACATGACACACGGGCTCCTGCTGCGGCGCTTCTTGAGTAGTACGTGGCGCCAGAAGCCCACATCCGTCGAACAAATTTCGTTGCGTGCATAGACGCGCGCGTAGCCCTTGATGTCGCCTTGCGGCCATAGCCCGGAGCCTGCGATGCCGTGATGACCGACGATGATCACACCCTGTCCCAGTGACGGCAGCAGTGGCCTCCGGCCGGGCCGACTAACCTCCGGCCCGCTTAACCCCAGTCCGTGACCCGTGTCGTGTGGCCGACAGTGCGATGGCCCCGGGGCGCGAGCTTCACCCAGCCCGCACCTAACCCCAGTCCGTGACCCGTGTCGTGTGGCCGACAGTGCGATGGCCCCGGGGCGCGAGCTTCACCCAGCCAGAGCTCTCCGGCCTGGCGGCCGCGCGCAACTTCTACGTCACCACCACGGACGGGGTGCGGCTGGGCGTCTGGTGAGTGGCGAGGCTCCGCTCCCCGCCCCGCCCGCCGGACACGCTCGGGGGCCAGCTCTGCACGCCGCAGGACCTCAGCGCGCGAGACGCTTGACACGCCCCGAGCTGTCGCCGCCGCCGTCACTGTGATGTGGAGCGGGCCTGGTGGCCGTCGTGTTCTCGTTTCTGTCCGATCGGTGCATGCCATCCGCA